GAAGGCTGTCATATTGTGTGCTATTTTTGCTCTTGCGGTAATGCAGATTTTAGCATTACCAGTGGAAGAAATGGAAGAAGGTAAGTAAAAAATTGAACTATATTTTTAAAAATTTATTTAATATCATTGCTGATGTATACATTAATATAGAAATTGTTTTTCTATATTATATAATTTATTGAATATTACATAATATAATAATCTAATATATTTGCTAAAGTCTTTATGTACGGTCTGTCAATGCCTTGGCTGGTCACAGCTTCTATTACTGCCTTGGGATATATAGAATCAAAAGCCTTCTCGAAACATATAAAGGTTAATGCTAGCGGTATTTCATATTTTTTAGTTCTACTTCTTAGTTTTCGAAATTTATGGATATGATTAAGGGTACTGAATCCATTTCTGAAGCCAGCTTGCTCTCTTGACTGTGCAACATCTAATGCATTTGTTAATCTGTTGTTGATGATCTTTTTAAATATCTTGTATATGATTGTCTATCTCCATTTACCTGGTATTTATGTCAGTTATCGTGGTATGGTATGTCAGTGGTAAGATATCGTACTCCTGTTTTTTCTAACAGTTTTTTGTTTCTTTGTACTTACTCTGTCGGTTCTATTGGTTCTCTGTCTACATTTTTATCGATTCAACTAATAAAGTATGATTATCAGCACATTTTTCTATCTGCTATATCGTTTTCATCATCATTATTTTCTCCATCATCGTTTACAGCTGTTCTAATTATAAGACATTCTCAACGTATTTTATTTTATTATAATTACATCATTTACATTGTTTATTATGGATTTTATATCATATTCATCTTTTTTTATTTCCCTCAAAGTTTTCTTCTACATTGGTTTTCTTTCTTTTTTTATGTTTTTGTTTTTTTCCTTCTCTTTTTGATTCTACTGCCTTTTCCTCGATCTTTTTCTGTTGTTGTATTACTGTAGGATTGCATTACCGGGTTTCAGTTTTTTCCCTTCATAATTTTAGTACATAAGTGATCATTCAAATTTGTGAGTAAGCTTAACATTTTAATGCTGAAATATTTTCTTTTCCATTTTTTAAAACTCTCTCTATTATTTGCTATTTTCTATTTGTACACAAATTAACATTCGTTTGTTTTATTGTTTGACAAATAGTGATTTAATGTAGTCCTGTGTCTTTGACTATAATATTTGATTTAATTTACAATAAATTTTTATTTTCTTTTCAATTTTAAATTCCATTTAGACATGCACCTCAGCATTTAATTAGTTTGCTTTTAAAGAAACACTATACCCAAAAAGTATAGAATAGAACTCATTCAGCGGATGGTCAGTCATATCTTTTACAAAACTACCAAATCAAAAAATTACTGCACTAGCTCGTTTCTTTCAGTGGTGGACATAATTCTCATACTTTCGATTCAAAGTTCCTTATCACACTATTATGTAATATACTAACATGTTTTACATACTATTTAAATATCAGTAATCTATAATCCTGTATTTTTTTTTCAGAAGATCATCTACGGTTTAAAAGGTTCACGTGTGATGTATTGGGTTCCATTTCGTACTCTGGAGTTAGCATGCATGACCATCCTTGCTCAATTAAATGCAGAATGAGAGGCAGCGACGGCGGATATTGTGATGAACAGAATGCCTGCATCTGTAATTAGCTAGAATTAAATTGTTTTTTTTTGGCTACTAATTAATAATAAAATAAAACTTTTTTAAGCATATATGATATTTAATTTTATTAACGATATAGATCTCTGATAATAATAATTTTCAAATAATTTGATCCAATTATTATGGTTTTTTGGTTGGACCATATACAGTGTAGGTAAAAGTTTATGGTCGGTATGTACCTTACGTGAGATGAAGTGAGAAACACCTATTTCAAAAGAGAGGGGTGTATTAGGTCCGCCTTTTATATCGTCGACTAAGAACTAATGAACTAAGAAAAGAGGAAAAAAACAACGTTGCCAAATTTATTGGTTTTATTTGACCTGTTGTCTTTTTAGCATTTTAACAACGTTTTAAGATAATCTAAGATAAGAAAAAAAAAAAACGAAATAAAAAGTATAAAAAACTTATTACCTTATATTCCGCAAGTCTACCATATTTTTATAATCAGCTAAAAGAAGCTACTGACAATGACAATGAAGAAGGGGACATTGTAGATATATATTTTTATTATTATTTTTTTCCAATATAGTGTTAAGATTTTTTAAATCGAAGAAACTGTTAAGCCACATTTTTTTTAAATAATCTTAATTTTTTTTATAAATATGTGTTTTTTCTGTAAAATAATAAATGCTTATACATTTTAATGACTAACACAATCAAATAACAAGAGTTATGGTTTACTAAAGTTTACTAAATATTTTTAAGATTTTGTTAAAACTTTAAACCTTGATATCTCAGCTTTCTTATTTTGTGGCTTATCATTAAGTTGCAACAGGGTCTTCAATTAGTTAATAAAGTAAATATTTAGTATAAGAATAATAGAATAAATTCACATTTACGTTAGACCAAACAGCTACTTAAAATACAAATTTAGTTTGCTGAATAATATAAAACGTGAATCGGGGACTCCCATGTGTTAATAATTCAAATTAAAAATAATCGATCATTGAAAATTCAGAAAGTCGAGTATAAAAGATGAATCTTCTATAAATGTGCATTTTTTGAAAATACAATTATTACGCTTGTACTAGTTAAATGATTTTACCTAAGAAAAAGACTTCTTAATTGAATATTTACAATAAATAAATCCTTTAACGAATTATCAATAAAGATTTCAGCTTCAAAACAACATCAACTAGTTGGGTTCCCAGTGAGAAACCGTAGATTCGTTAACTACAAATAAACGGTTGAATAAAACAGTTCGGTGATTCAACGCTCATCTCTACAGTACAGAATTAGTTCTGTGGTATGTCATGCGTATATCACGGGAGCATGATACTATAAACTACAGATAAACCCACGCGCACGCGATCAGTCGTGTGACGTCACTTGGCGACAAATGTCACCAGAAATGTTCTGTGTTGTATGGAGTTTTGTCAGATTTAGTCAAGGTTAGTAGATATTTAAGTATCTACTTAAATATCTACTAACCTTGAGATTTAGTTTTGTTTTACCGTTTATCTTGTACGTTGACATCGGTACATTTACTTAACATTTACTTAACCATCTTTCCGAAGGAGGTTTACTTAAACCATATCCAGATTTTCTAATTAAATGTAATGAACTGGACCATATTTTTAACAATTTTAACAAAGGGTCATTAAAATTAACCAAGAATTATTTAAAATCGCTAATGGATTTAGCTGTGTTCAGATGTAATGTTAGTAAAGGTGTAAATTATATTTTAAAATTAGAAAATTGAATAGATATATTAAAGAAACATCAAAAGTTAAGAAGAAAATATTAAAAATTGTAAAATAAATTGAAATAAACTTGTAAATTATTACAGTGTATTTTATTTTATCAGTTGTATTAAATTTTTATTTTAATAAATCAATCCATTGTATATAAATTTCCATTTGCAAAAGGATGTTCAGTTCTTACTTTTTTATATAATTTTAGTTTACATTGCTAGGCTAACAGAGATGTACATATAACATATTTTTAAGACTTAATTGCAGATATTTTACCTAACATCCCTTAATATTCTAAATATTTAAATAAAAACCCTTTTCTTTCCATATATGTTTTACCGACTGTGATGATAAAAGGTTGGTGATAAAAGTGACTTTTATCACCAATTGGCGTCATGCGCGTCGATGTACAAAATTCGATTGCGAAGTGGGTTTATCTTGGAAGTCTTAGTATCATGTCACGGGAGTAAGCTGTTATTTCATAAAGCATAATAAATAAACACATAGTCAGTAAGTCAGTATAAGTAACGCAAGTAACGGAAGGAGTAGGTGTATTGTATTAAATTTAAACTGGACGAAAAATTACGTCTTTTAATTAAAAATAAGATATTATTTGGCATTTTCCAAATAAAATCTTTGAAACTATATTTTCGTCTAGACTTTTTGGAGTTAGTAAGTGTGAAAATATGAATTAGTTCTATAAAAATAAAACAAAACAAGTTAAAATTAGTATAAAATTTGTTCTATAAAAATGAAATCAATTAAAAAATAACTCCAACACTACTGTTTAAATTAAAAATAACTCCAAACAATTAGAAAATCTAAACCAAATTCTTAGGTAATTAAATGTTCATACAGACCATCAAATTGTAATAAACAGTAACCAAATCTATTATACAAAGCATTCCTCTGGCGTTGAGTTCATCTGCCGATATGTTTTCAGCCAAACTTTTCCAATTTATAAATAATGGATAATATAGTTTTTCTATAGGCATTGGCCTATTTTTAAAAGCCATAATAAATAAATTGATAGTTTCTTCAAATGAATTTCCCCAAAGTACCATTTTATTATTTCTACTTGTTCTGTTGTATAAACAGTTGGCATATAAAAAGAAACACATAGCATAGCGTTCGATTTAGTTTCTTTTTGGAGATTCGAATGTCTCGAATGCAGTTTACCATTGAAGTGAACGGACAAATAGCGATGTTGCCAAAATTATCTTCTTTTATTGGAAATTAGGTAACAATCTCTTCAAATATAAATGCGAATCTATAAATTTCTCACGGACTTAAGCAATTTTGTACCACTATTTGTGTCAATTAGTATTTCATTTTTAATATCATCATCCAGTTTTGAATAACAATATAACCGCGTTACTGACGACAATTGTTTGAATCAAGTCAATGTTTTAATTCAAATATGTAATAAGGAAACCCTGCTGCTGTCTTTTGTAGGCACAACAAAGGTCAATAAAAAACAGAAGATTTTAGTGCGTTAAAGCTTTGAAAGAAACAGATAAACGCTCCAAGATGCACAGTAAAGAAGGCGAAAGAGAGTTTTTTTTTAATTACTCACTTGTTGCTGTATCATTGTAATACAATTTTTAAAGTAATTTCATTTCTGGTTCTAAAAGTTTTTTCAAGTAGGTGTTGATGTGAAGTCAGGTCAATTAAATTAAAATACAATATTTCTATAAACTACTTATATTCGAAACTCTTCTTTGTTAAACTTGTTGAGTGCTGAATATCTCCCAGCATCTTAGCACTGCACAAGGGCGAATCAAAAGGAATAATTTGCTTAAATTTTTTGTAATCCACAACGTAACATTCTTCTTCGTCGTCGTAATCTACACAGGGCGTAAAACGATGACCCCATAAAATATCTGAATTCGAGTAAGATGTCCTATTTTGTGAAACTTGTCCTGTTATATTAGAACTCCCTTCTGCTACGGCTATTATTTCAAATCTGAAAATAAAAATACATATGTAACTAATCTAAACTGCTTCAATGAGCTACAAAATTACATTTTTTAGAAATAGAATCGTGGTTTTTTAACTCCACCTGGAATGACTGTTGGGTGGATCGAGTAGCTTAACAGTCATTCTTGCCGGTCCCAAGCCCGGGTAAAGGAGGAGGGTTAAGCGGAAGGCCAAAAACCTGCCCTTGTAAAAAACAGAGTGTTATGAAAACTGCAAATGTGCCTCGGAATCGAACAGATACATATGTAAAACGACAATCGCAATGGACAAGGACTTTGAATGTTGGAACGTGAAACGTTTTAAGCTGGTGCCGGACAGGGGCAGCCATACACGCAGTAAAACAGTTAGAAAAAGTAGGAATGAACATTACGGCAATACAAGAAATAAGGTGGCCGGACAATGGAAACATAAGAATAGACAAGGCGGTCATTTTCTACAGTGGAAACCAGACAGGAAAACATGAATTCGGCACAGGTTTCGTGGTCCGAGAAGAATACTTAAACAGTGTTATAAGTTTTACGCCCATCAGTGAGAGAGTGTGTTATATTAGACTGAAAGACAATATCTCAATTATATCCGCACATGCTCCGACAGAAGATAAAGAAGAAACAATCAAAGATGACTTCTGTGAGCAACTCGAAAGAACGCTGGAGAGAATTCAACGCAAAAATTGGCAAAGAACTTAACCTAAGACCGACAATAGGACAACACAGTCTCCACGATATCTCAAACGATAATGGACAAAGGCTCGTAGAGCTAGCATCGGCTAACAACATGCTTGTAAAGTCTACTATGTTCCAACATAAAAACATTCATAAACAGACTTGGGTCTCTAATGACAACTCCACACGGAACCAAATTGACCACATAATTGTTGATGCTAGACACGGAAGTAATGTCCTTGACGTAAGAAGCCTCAGGGGCGTAGATGGAGATACAGACCATTACCTAGTAAGAGCAAAAATCAGGTTGAGAATATCATCACAGAAACTTAAAACGAACGAAGCATTGGGACAGTGGAACATTGAGAAAACGCAAAATAAGGAAATCCGAGACAATTACGTACAGGAAATGGAACAACAGCTAAATAGAATAGACCAGAGCAATGATGTCGAAAGGCTGTGGCAACAAATGGAAAAATCAATTACAGAGTCAGTAGAACTAATAATGGGAAAAAGAAGGACGAAAACAAGGAAATGGTTTGATAAAGAATGCCAAGAAAAACTACAAGACAGACAGAAAAAGCGAAACATTATGCTTCAACAAGAAACAACAGAAAGTAAAAAAAACTATACAACATCACGACGAGAAACAAGAAAACTAATTAGAGAGAAAAAAAGAAAACACGAACAACAGCAGTATGAAGAAATGGAAAGAAATAGACAACAGTCAAATAGTCAAGCATTTTACAAATCTGTGTCAAACGAAAAGAGAGGATTCAGACCTAACTGCGTGTCTCTACTGAGGAAAAATAATGATGAATTATTCAACGAACAAGAATTACTCCAAACATGGCAAGAATATTTCAAAAATTTACTTAATATACACCAAGATGAAGAACATGGAGAGGATATATATCTTGGGGTGGACCTACCGGTAGAGTACCCAAAAATAGACGAAACATTGCAAGCAATTAACAAATTGAAGAACGCAAAAGCTCCAGGCTCTGACAATATACCAGCCGAATTTCTTAAGTATGGAGGAGAAACTTTACATATACAATTACACAAACTAATAACACTTATATAAAACGAAGAGAAAATACCAACAAAATGGCACGAAAGTGTAATAATTCCTATCCATAAAAAGGGAGACAAAACCAAGTGCTCTAACTATAGAGGCATCTCCCTACTTAATACGGCGTACAAAATCTTATCGAACATCCTATTAAGTAGACTAACAACTTTTGTAGAAAATTTCATAGGGGAATACTAAGCCGGATTCAGAAAAAATAGATCGACCATAGATCAGATTTTTACTCTCAGGCAGCTGCTTGAAAAAGGATGGGAATTTAATAGAACCATTCATAATCTCTTCATAGAATTCCGACAAGCATACGACAGCATTAAAAGGGATCAGATGTGGAATGCAATGGCAGAACTTTCAGTTCCAAAAAAACTTATCCAGCTCGTTAAAGTTTGTGTAAATGGCTGTAGATCTAGAGTGCGGATAGGTAACAAGCTCTCAGAGTCGTTTGAAATAAACAGTGGACTGAAACAAGGAGACGCGCTGTCACCTCTTCTTTTTAATATAATCCTGGAAAAAGTAGTAAGAACCGCACAAATTAGAACAGAACTACTGACAGTAAATGGACCAAAATTACTACTAGCATACGCGGATGACATTGACATTGTAGGAAATACCGTCACCAATGTAAAAGAAACCTTCAATAAATTGGAAAGAGAGGCAAAAAATACTGGTCTAAGGGTCAATGAAGAGAAAACCAAATATATGTGCATTAACAGACAAAAGAGACGAGATAGAATAGGACAAAATGTAACAATAGACCCCTATAAATTTGAAAGAGTGGGAAGTTTTAAATATCTCGGAGCGACTATCACCACACATAACGATATCACAGAAGAGATAAAAGGAAGAATTCGGGCAGCAAACAGATGTATGTATAGCCTCCCTAACACTATTAAATCCAAGAGCCTAACACGAACATAAAAAATCAGGATATATAAAACAGTAATTAGACCGGTGCTTATGTATGGGTGTGAGACATGGACGCTGAAAAAAGTAATGGAAAGTAAACTCAGATGCTTTGAGAGAAAAATCCTCAGAAAGATCTTAGGTCCCTATCACGATCCGAATACTAACCAATACCGAATGAGAACAAATGCCGAGGTCAAACAAATGTATAGTTCTAGCGACGTAGTCCAAGAGATTAAATCCCAACGTCTAAGATGGGCTGGCCATGTTCATAGGCTCCCTAATAACCGCCTTACCAAGTTAATCTGGGAAGAAGTCCCGACAGGTAGAAGGTCCTTAGGATGTCCACAAATGCGATGGAGAGATAATATATGGTCAGATTTAAGAACAATGGGACTACCCACTGACTTAAACATCATGGACGACCGTTCGAGATGGAAGCAGGTTGTGCAGTCAGCCAAGACCCACCCCGGGTTGTAGTGCTACCAGAAGAAGAAGAAGAATCGTGGTTTTAAACTAAATCCAAGAAAATTTTTCTTTCGACACAAATTTTGTCTATGCTAACAAATTAAAACTCTATTATTTGTACAAACATTTATTTGAAACAGAGAAAATTATGGTTTTTCTATAAACATTAAACATTATTAATATTTTTATTTCATATGATATTTTGAGGGTAAAATTAGTTTGCCACACCACGGTCTACCGTAGACATTTGGGCGTGAACTAAATAGAGAAGCCATTACTAACGCTCTAAAAATTCTTGCTTACCGTGATTCTAAGATATCCAATGGACGAAACGTCCACAACGGACTTGTTTCGTTTATAACATGCTCTATTTCCAAAGGAAATATTAATAACCCATGAGGCTCAACTTCCATTTGAATAATCTCAAATTCTGTATTGGGGTAAATGATTTCTTTATCCATGAAGTACAAAGAAATGTTAGTACCGCACCAAATTTTTTTGGTAAAATCATTTATCCTAAATATAAAACGAAGTTTACCGTCTCTCATACAAATCTGAAAATGTAAATAAGTTTGTATAAGTTATAATAATTTTAAGAAATGTTGTATTTGTATTTGTTATTAAGAATGCTAAATATTTGTATATTTTTAATGTGATCTCCTCATTTACTTCTGAAGAACAACCAACTTTAACAATTTTTATAGCAATCGATATAAAAATATATATAACAGAACATACCAATGTTTTATTAGCAAGTTAAGATATTGGGAAACCATAATAACAGATCGATTAGGATATAACCCATCGAGCAAAAAGACAAAAGAGGCAATGTAAAGGTAGTTGCGGCAAAAATATTGTTAGACAGGAAGTGCCATCTTGAGAGGTCACTTTAAACAAGGAAAGACAGTCTCTTTCCTTGTTTAAGAAATCAAATTTAGTTGGGCTATGTTATTGCTGATGTTATAATTTATCCCAACTGTCACATGAAAGGTTATTTGTATTTTCTATTGAACTTTTTTAACAATTAATGTACCAATAAGATGTAATATTAATATTATGTAATATAAAATAAATAAACAGATAAATTAGAACCCCTACAAGGCTGTATGATTATTGTGAAGTGTCAAAAAATTTAAATTTGGCGCATTCGCATTTCCGGATATGTCCGCCATCAGAGGCCACTTTTGTCTCCTTTTCATAACGATTAGATTCCCTATTTTGTCTTTTTGCTCGATGATATAACTTCAACAAAATAGTACGGAACAACAAAGTACCCAAAGAATCAATAGATGCAACGTATACTTACCACATCCTGACAAAACTACTGTTATAGAACTTCAAAAAGTAATCAAACAAAGTTTACTCCCAAAATTAATTTTGGGTGAAACAAACTATCAAAAATCGCACGGAGGTCCCCAAGAACTGATAAAACAGACTAATCTTATTGAAAGCAATTAATTTTTCTCCAGAGTCTTATCCATAATTGATTCTATACTAAACTATAGCTTCATTTCTATCATGAAATACATTAGATCACCTAAATGATAGTGATCATTTTCCAATAATAGTTACTCATGACAAAGACGAAAAACTTGTACTACACCATATGAAACGTGGACATTAAAGTCAGCAGACTGAGAAAAATATTCGAACCTAGTCAGCTTAAATATACACAGCAAAAAATTCTCTAGGACAAACCAAAAATATCATAAAAGCCCCTCTTGCTTGGTGGAACACTGAAACAAGAAGTACAACACTCCTAATAATTTGAACAATTTAAGATCTTTAAGGGCCAGATCTAGATTTTTACTAAAGCAAGCAAAAAAAAGAGAGCTGGATCAATTACGTCTCCTTAATTAACTTGTCCACACCAATAAGGAATATGTGACAAAAAATTTAAAAATAAAAGGCACAAAAACATTTAACCCAAATTAAACACCCATTAAACACAAATTTAAATTTGTGTGTAGTTATTGTACTAATTTAACAGTTAGTACAATAACTATACACAAACAATAAATCTCAGAATTTAGTAGAACACTGACTTCCAGCAATTAGCAGCACCACCCAACTTTCTTGATACATAAACAAATAATAGAAGCATCAAAAATTAATATAAAAGATACTGCTTCCCCACTAAACACTTCCATAACACTTGATGAATTAAATAAAAGTGTTAATAACCCCAAAAAGACCTTATCTGAACCTGATGACATACCCCCAATTTTTACCGAAAAACTACATATTAGCTTAGTTACGTTAGTAGAGATCTTGAAAAGACAATGGACCAAAATACTTATCTTCCTTGTATAAACCAATATCTAGTACCTGTGGTATTTGTAAAATAATGCAAAATATTCTAAGTAAAAGATTTAAAAAGATACTTAGAAAAGAAAAACCTTCTTACAGGTTCTTCTTCTTTACAAAAAATTGTAAAATACATGAAGCCTTTATATATAAACATATATTATTAGCAATTTTCTTTGGTATCACAAAAGCATTTGATACATATCACATCTTAAAAACAATTAAAAGCTGGAAAATAGATGTCAAATTCCTAGCCTTCACCAAAACTTCCTGGAGAACAAGAACTTAAAATCATTGGAAAATAACATCTCTCAAGGATCTGCGTTACGCTCTCTGCTGTTTTAATAGCAATAAACAAAGTATCTAACTGTCTTTTGCTTCCACTAAAAGCAAATCTTTACGCGGATGATACCTGTTGCTTCCTTCTTCTTCTTAGAGTGCCATATCCCTACGGAACGTCGGCGACTACCATGCTTACATATTGTTATACTGATCTCGGTCTTGCGCTACGTGTAGCAATTGGTCCGCTGTCAAACCTGTCCACTGCCGCAAATTCCTCAACCAAGAGAGTTTCTTCCGTTCTATCCATTTCTTTCCTTCGATTTAACCGTTGAGAAGTAGCCGAAGGAACTCATATCTTGGCCCTCTGATTATATGTCCAAGATATTCTAGTTTATGCCTCTTAATAATATTTAATAGAGTTCGTTGATGTCCCATTCTTCGAAGAACTTCTTCGTTTCTGGTTCTGCTAGTCCATGGAATTTTTAGTATCCTTCGATACAACCACATCTCAAACGCCTCGATTTTATTCATGATATCAGCGTTTAAAGTCCAAGTTTCACATCCATACAAAAGTACAGACCACACGTAACATCTTATAAACTTTTCACGGATTTCCAAATTTAATGAGTTATTATTAATCCAGTAAAAGCAAATCTCATGTAATATAGATGAGAAGTAAAAACCTAAAATCACTTAAACGGACACACTTTTACAACAATTAACGAAATGAACTAAATCAAGCAAACAAAGAATAAACCTTTTAAATGTACTTTCCATTCACAAATAGGGTGCAGACACAATACATTGCACAACTTAAACACAATTTTTATTTGATGTCTTTTTGTCGTGATTGTCAAAATTTGTATTCCTTCAGTGCTATTATAATTTTTATATCTTTTACATATAAATTGTAAGCAAACTGCTCTAGAAGGAAAGCTAATATCATAGATAAACATTATCCAAATATATTCTTACCACAGCTTTTTTACTAAAAACAGAAGTGGAACTGGTAGTGATTGGTTTCGTGATCTTTACATATACTACACTGACTAGGGTGCCTTGAATAGCAACACTCAATATAACTTGCGATACCAGCATAAACCATCCAAAATTACATTGTTCTGAAGGATATCGATAGCCGTAGCCTATAGTTGTAATGGTTTCAGCACTCAAAAGAAAGTAACCTAAAATGTTTGTTTTTGTTATTCCTTCTATCATAGATGTATATATAATTAACATATTTTGTTTTTTTTTGGACACCATGCTCAATCTAGTTGGTCGAATTTGTTGAAAGCTGAAATTCAGCAAGCTTTTAAATTATCAAAAAATTAAAAAACTTTAGGGCATGATAAATTGATAAGCAGAAGTGATAAAGTATGAGATACAATATAGCAGATGCTTGATTAGAATTATCATTTGTTACAATTGCCAAGACAATAAATCATGAAAAGAGCGAATATGCCAGATTAATTGACTTAATGACACCTTCATCCTACCCTCTACCGACTCGCACTGGCCAGCGCGGTAGAGTATGGCTAAAATCCATGATACTAAGATAAACAGTATCATGGCTAAAATCCAAGCATGTTTGATACGACAAAAACACGGCCCTCAGTCGCCGGCAGCATGCTCATGTATCTCTTATGGGAGTGACAGTCCTCTGAAATTTGTATTTCCTAAGGACACCAGAGGGCGTAGCAATGTAGCATTCGTAGCAAAGCTTTGTGACTGCGCAAGACCGCAACCAACAAAACAAGTACGCCATTTTTATTGTGGTTTCGACACAGTGTTTCCAGTTGTATTATTTGCGATTAAATAATTGTTTGTTTTTTGCCATCGTATTTAAATAATTATGGTTTTTAACTGTTGTGTTAATGGTTGTAATATTTACAACCTTATTATTATTGGCTTATATAATGGCTTATTTGGACAATGGTTAGTTATATTATTTTTTTTTGTAAAAAATATTGTTATAACCTTAAAAACATCTACCATTTAATACATTATCTACGGTGGAAGTTTAAACATTTTCAGAAATATATAATACACAGGCGTTGTTATAGGCCATTTTCTTTAAAATATTACTCATGCAAAACTTTAAATGCGATTACCCTACATTTTGGATTTGTACCTATACGTTACTAAGGGTGCGATATTATAAATTCAAGTCATTAGATCAATAAACATCAAAATGAGATTTTTTTGGCAGTATGCCGACGATATTAATAGAAAATCTTTGATAATGTATTAGATATAATTTATAGACACTACAGAATAGCCAGTGTTTAACCAACTACATTTAAATACATGTAATTAATGTTTATAAAAAAAAATAAAGTAGAAAAAGAACTAACGTTTATTTTATTTTTGTAGTCAAACCCAAACCCTCAAAATTAATCTTTATATTTGAAGAATTACAAGATTTTTTAAAAAGATGTTGCTTTCCTAAGGCCGCCAGATGGCGCATTGTCCAGAAATAACCTACACAGTTTCCTATCTATCCGGTAATATATATTCTTTATCTATGGCCAGCAGTGAGCTGATCCTTGATCAAGGTAGCGATCAAAAAGACAGCAAACAGAGGGTGCGAAGAATCCCAGGGTCAGATTAGGCTACCACGGATGAAGACAAATTTATATCGCCACGTACAATGTAAGAACACTGACATCTGAAGAAAAATTACTGGAATTAGAAAAAGAGTTAAAACACATAAAATGGGACGTTATGGGTCTCTGTAAAGTAAGACGCGAAGAAAAAGACTGCACAACTCTTAAATCAGGGCATCAACTTTTCTATATGGGAAACAAAGAAAAAATAGGATTAGTTGGACTTCTTACATAAGAGACACACTAAAAATATCCAACAACTTAAAGGTATCAACTCAAGAATAATACTGTGCATACTGAAGCTTAACAAAAAAACTAGCCTTAAAATAATTCAATCCTATGCACCTACATCTACACACTTGGACGAGGAAGTAGAAACCTTTTAGAAGACCTAGAAAATGCAGTAAAACTGGCGCCTACTACACGCAACCTAGTAATGGGTGACTTTAATGCTAAGTTGTGATGTAAACTGGACGGGACCGAAGTTGCAACAGGTCCCTACGGATTCGGACAAAGAAATGTAAGAGGCGAAATGTTTTTGGGTTTCTTGGTACGAAATCGCCTCTTTACAATGAATAGCTTTTTCAAAAAAAGTCCCCAAAGAAAATGGACCTGGGCAAGTCCAAATGGAGTCACCAAAAATGAAATTGATTTTGTCCTAACCAACAACAAAGACACGGTCCATGATGTTACAGTTCTTAATAGCTGTTAAAAGATCGTGCTGAATCTCCAAATACACTCCCAATAGGATGGAATCCAATGGAAAACACCATGTCATTCGAAGAGGAAATTCTGAGATGTCTAGACACAATAAATATAGACGTTATGGATGTCGAAACCTTAAATGATAACTTAATAAAAGCTGTTAAGAACGCAGGAGATTGTTCCAAAAAGAAAAATTCTTCATTAGAATCAGAAAAACCGTTGCGTAGAACCATAATTACAGCATAGAGTTCGGACAAATACTGAGGCAATAGACAATAGGAGTTCACACGATTTTGTTATAACGTCCGAATTCGCACTTTTACAGTTCGCAGCTTTCCGGATCCAGTGGACGGGAGGTCTTATACCTTCTTATTCTTCAAGTGCCCTCTTCGCTACGTAGTTTGGCAATCATCATTGCTATTCTTATCTTTGAAGTTGTTGCTTTAAATAATTGGTTAGATGTGCACTGGAACCAGTCTCTTAAATTGCGCAGCCAAGATATACGTCGTCTTCTTACGCTTCGTTTGCTCTGAATGTTTCCTTGAATAATTAACTGGAGCAATCGGTACTTTTTCCCTCTCATCACATGACCAAGATATTCCAACTTTCTTCTCTTGATGGTGATCAACAGCTTGCATTCTTTGTTCAGTCTTCGAAGAATTACACTATTTGTTCTACACTATTTGGCTTATACCTAACACTTGTGATTTTAATACAATTAAAAATTCTGGTCTCAAAACGTTTTAATACCAAATTGGTCTGGTTGTTAAAATAACTACGATAATAAATTAATTTCTTGCCATTTATCGAACTTAAATTTTTGACAAAAACATAAATTCCTATTGTTTATAAGAAATGCCACAAAAAAATTAAAAATATTGTATAGAAATTAATAATTGTACTAATACAAGGGTTTCTACTCGCAATACATGGGAAATATGTCATGGGTCGAATTTTTTGCATCTTAATGTATAAGAGACCATAAATAACTTACCAGTTAATGTATTGGTATTTACAATACAGGGTTCAGTTACATTAGGGTTAAAATCTCCACTACCAATAGCTATAACCCACCATAACATTCCAAAAACCATGAAACAACCCACATTTACAAGAAACAAGGTGATTAGGATCCATCTCCATCTTATTCCAAGAAGAGTATTGCCCAGATCCCGTATGTAATATATATTTTTATTTGTACGCTGTTTCAGAAATGTATTTAGTCTACCAGATTTTTTAATTAATCTTGCTAAATTTGACAACGTTGTTTTTCTTGTTTTCCTTAAAAATAAAAAAGTGTTTTAGAACTCTTTAAAGAAAGGAAAAATCAGGAAACATGGAATAATAAGACAACTGAAGATTGAGCCCATAGAGCAATGCCCTAAATTACAAAAAAATAATTGTATGATTAAGATTAAAAAAGGTTGGTTGATTAAAAATTGGCGTTAAGAGTAAGAGACGGTAACAAAAAGTATGTTCATGGTAAAAGTCGACACAAGTGGTGTACGTCAGAAGTTATCCCTTCATCTAAAACACGAGCAACTTATTACCTAGACTAAAACTAATGTTTTTTCTTGAAATTACAAGAAAAGACCTTTATTTTTATTTTTTTAAAGAGTCCTATAGGTGCTACAGAAGCCATACCACAGCTATTTTAAGTATTTCTTGAAAATATTTACGGTAAAATTTTGACGAGTAAATTTTAAAAAATCGGTCTGAGGAATGTGCCTTCAAATTTGAAAAAGCATTTTTTGGCATCAAAAAAGGACGATTTTCTAATATATATATATATATATATATATATATATATATATATATATATATATATATATATATATATATATATATGTGGATATATATATATATATATATATATATATACATATAGGTGGACGGTGTCGTCACGGAAGCGATAAAGTTAGGAGGCTCAGTACTGATAGCCAAAATTCAAAAGCTCTTTAATCTATGCCTATGGAATCAAAATATCCCAATAAAATGGAATAATTCAATAACTGTACTCTTACACAAGAAGGGAGATATAGCAGACCTGGAAAGATACAGACCAATCAGTCTCCTTAACCATCTTTATAAATTATACACCGGAATAATAACGAATAGATTAGAGACAAAGCTGGATTTTTACCAACCTCGGGAACAAGCTGGTTTCCGCCCTAATTATGGCACAAACGATCACCTGCAGTGCCTAAAAACCCTAATAGAAAAAACTAACGAATATAACCGTCCCTTGGCATTGATATTTGTAGACTTTAAAAGGCGTTTGATACAGTGGAACTACCGTCCATCTTAAGAGCACTACAAGATTGCAGGATCGACCACAGATATTGTAATATAATTAAAAATATATATGAAAATGCCACAACAACCATAAGTCTATATTCTGCAACTAATAAAATAAAGATAAAAAGGGGAGTCAGGCAGGGTGATACCATGTCACCAAAGCTGTTCATTACCGTTCTCGAGTATGCATTTAAAAGACTAACATGGCAACAGAAAGGAATATCCATCGATGGAGAAAGATTAAACCATCTACGTTTTGCAGACGATATCGTGCTTCTGTCAGATAATCTGGGAGAGATCAAAGACATGCTCTAAGAACTGAATGACATACTACAAGAAACTGGGCTGGAAATAAATTTTGAGAAAACCAAAATGATGACCAATATGGTTCCCAGCGAAGAGATACAGATCAATAACAAGGTAGAATTAATCAATAAATACACATACTTGGGTCATGAAATTAGAATAACCAGAGACAACCAAACCTGAGAGCTAAATAAACGAATCACGTTGGGATGGGCGGCATATGGACGGATGAGAGACATTTTTAAAACAAATATCCCAATTCACCTGAAAAGGAAGGCATTTAACCAATGCATCTTAACAGTCTTGACCTACGGAGCAGAGACCTTAACTTTAACGAAAGCTACTGCCGAAAAACTGAGGGTAACACAAAGGCGAATGGAGAGATCAATGCTGGGCCTGACCTTGAAAGATCGCGTAAGAAATGAGGAGATACGCCGACGAACTGGCGTAGACGATATTATACTGCGAATCAATAAACAAAAGTGGAGGTGGGCTCGACATGTTGCTAGAATGGAAGACGGAAGATGGACGAAGAGATTATTGGAGTGGAGACCAAGAGCCGACAAGCGAAGTCGAGGCAGACCACCCACCCGATGGACCGACGACCTAAAGAGAATAGAAACAAACTGGATTGCAGCAGCTAGAGATAGAGAGAACTGGAGACGTTTGGAGGAGGCCTATATCCAACAATGGATGTGAAAATTCGGCTGGATGATGATATATATGTATATATATATATATATATATATATATATATATATATATATATATATATATATATATATATATATATATATATATGTATGTACGTAATATGTGCAATACTTGCATTCAATTTTTAGTTACGCAGAGTATCTTATTATAAAAGTTTTCTACTTTCTTACCTTTTCTTTTGCCTTTTTAAAATTAAAAGAGGGTTTCTTTGTGCATGTTGTGATTGATGTTCATCTGAATCCTCAGAGAACTCGTCGAAACTGACCTCGGTGTATTGATCACGAACACTGTCATATTCCAATTCTTCATACATAATATACGAAAGGTAGTCAATCTTAGTCTGATTTAAAAAATTAAATGAATTAGTTATTATTGCTAATAAAATATATTGATAAGATAATTTGTTAAAACAATTAACGGTATATATATCCACTTAAGATAAAGATTTAGATCATTCATTGACAGATATTTGTGTAGATGAAATAACTAGATACATATGTTTTATTGCGAATATCTTGTAGGTCATTAACAAATACATATGTAGTAATTTTACTGTGTCTAAAGATTTTTGGCTTGTATCCATTTATCTTTAAGATGTTAATGCTAAAGAATGTCAATTAATCACCAAAACAAAGCTGCATGATATTTAAAACAAATCCGATATATATTTGAAAATGATTTCTGGAGTGGAAACCGAAACGTCCAATAACAATTATATCATATAATTTTCATAACAATTCAATTGTGGCCTAACCCATATAAACATAATATATAAAACATAATTGATTGCTTGCTAACTACATTGTAAACTGATTAAATTACTCATCATCAGTTGGCGCTACAGCCCTTCGTGAGCCTTGGCCTGCTTCAAAACATTCTTCCATCCTTCCCTATCGAGTGTCTGTCTTCTCCAGCCCCTCACTCCAATCTCCCTTAGATCTTCCTGTACATCGTCCAGATAGGTATCTGAGTTTACGTCGCCCCCTTCTTCTTCTTCCGACTGGCCTGTTTAGCATAGTTATTTTAGTGAGATCACTCTCATCCATCCGCATAACGTGGCCCACCCATCTAAGGCGGTTTATTTTGATGGTCTTCACAATATCTGCATCACCAAAAAGTCTATAGAGTTCAAAGTTATATCGCCTTCTCCACAGACCCTGTTCGTTTACTCCGGCATATATGGTCCTCAATACTTTTCTTTCAAAGACTCGTAGTAACTCTTCATCTGGGGTCGTCATTGCCCCTGTTTCCGATCCGTATGTGAGCACTGGGCGTATTATTGTTTTATAAAGTTTGCACTTTGTTGCTATTGACATACTTCTCGCTCTTAGTTCAGGGCCCAGGCCAAAATAACAGCGGTTAGCCACGCATATTCTTTTTTATCTCGTTGGATGTGTTATTTTTGTGTAGTGTACCAGTGATCCTAAGTAGCAGAATTCTTCTACCATTTCTATCGTTTCGTGTTGCACCTCTAAGTTATTTTGTTAAATTCTTGATATGGCCGGCATATATTTAGTTTTCTGGATGTTAATCAGAAGTCCGATGTTTTCTGCGGCATTTTTGATACGTGTGAAAGCCTCCACTGCTTGGTTAATTTGATTAATTTACTGGGTATGATAAAAAGTCCGATTTGAAGAAAATTAAGTTCATCTGAAGACGAATTGAGATTCTCTAGAACAGAGGTTCCCAAACTTTTTTGTACCACGCCCCTTTTGTTGAAATGAAAGTTTCTTGCGCCCCCCAATCCTTACCAATAAATTGTATGGGTCTAGGAATAAAACGAAAACAAATAAGTATTGCATAGATGGATGTGCTTGCATTTTCTTTACTGGTACGCATATTCGTGGCTGAGTAAGTGCGCAACGCAAGTCACTAGCAGCATCAAGTTTATTCGGATACTTTGTTTTAATTGCCACAAGTGTTGAAAATGCTTTTTCGCACAAATAAGTGATTGTGCTAAAAGAGTAGCTCGTCTTTCATTTCATATACAATTTTATTTGAAATTGTTTTTTATGTTTATTCTATTAATGTTTTATAAAAACAAAAACTATATATAAAATGTTTATTAAAAAAGTCTTAATATAAGTCTTATAAATACAAAACTAAAATAAGTATATTCTATGGCCTACACTCTTCCCTGTCAGAATTTGCGGGCCAGTCGCATACATTGAGACCAGTATGAAAAGCAGTGCCAGGTTCGCAGTTAAACAGGGTTGGTTTGCCATGATCACAGCGGTAGTACTACAAATAAAAAAAATTATTAATGAAGCTATAGGAAGATTTAAAAAACGAAATAAAAACAAATTTGTTCCAAGATAAGTTATAAAAGATTTTCCTGTTAATGGAAAATGCACAATATGTTTAAGAAAGTATATCATCAGTTCATGTTGACTGTCGAAAAGCTTTAGAAAGGATACTTTTGAAAGTTACGTTTAAATTTCAAAAATTGATTCCAATAAAGTTTCTTATTAGTATTAGTATTCTTTTTATTTGTCATAAATATCAGTCTGAAGATTCTAAATATACCATAGAACCTCCTCTTCTTTTTCAGACAAAACATGATCTATAAGTAGGCTGCATTATTCTACCAATCCTACCAACAATATCTGGGGGATCCCTTAAAGAGGAGTCTGCCGTTTAAGAAACATCTACAAATAATTGCACAAAACACTGCAGATTATTTCAATGTTACCTCTAGATTGCGCACGCTATGAACTGAAGATCCTCCACATAAAGTATTCAACCTTATTGAACCAGTCGTAGAGCACGATGGCTTCAGATGCACACAGACTACTTAAAAGGGGAAAACGGTCTGCCTCTAGCTGCGACTATGATGCTGCAGATCAAATCATCCAACACATAGTGGAGACACTTTCAGAAGAATTAAATCTATTAACACAAACAGAATTGGAGGTTGTAATTAATAAGATTGTAGATAGTAGCAAAGAGGGAGGACTAATGTTTAATATCAAAAAGACGAAATTCAGGATGCTTAAAAAGGAATTAGCAAAGGAATAGAAACGTTTAAGATATATACGTAGGTACATGCGAATTTTAAAAATAAGCTTGGTGGATACGATAGTGAACAACGGCGTTTTGAAAAGAATGAAAAAGTAGAATGAGATTTACAATGAAAGTAAAAAACTGAGTATATAAGCCATGTCGTAAGAGAAGAGAAGTATGTGTTCCTGTAGATAATTATACAGGAAAATATACTCCCAAAAGAAGCATAATATGACAATGACGTATATTCTAGCTAAATATTTTAAGACAATGGTGCAACTGTCACTCTGTGGGCTCATTAGAGACGGAGTACCAAAGGTGAAGAAATCCGTAATGATAGCCATTTTTCTCGAAAAGAAGGTGGCCCTTAAAGAAGAAGAAATGTATGCACATATACAAATGCCGTTACCTTCAGAGAACGAATTCTTTTAATATCTTTTAGTTTTTTGGTAGTGAAAATAGAAGCCATTTCTAAAGTTTTTACCAAAAAAATTTACTTAGCTATACCGGAAAACATTATATATTGTAAACTAATTTTCAACATACTTTATCACAGTCCCTATGTGGCATGAAATCTGCCTCACATTCTGTTAAATTATCAGCGTCTTCAGGATAACTTGATGGCGACGAAGCTGCAGTAGGTTGAGTGGGAACTCCATGCGTGGTTTGCTGTGAAGTGGGCACCGTACTGGAGTACGTTGGTTTAGGTGGTTTAGGTGTAGCTGAAGTTACTGCTGTTGCACTGCCTGAAGAAGTTGTACTTTTGGGTCTATCCCATTCGGGCTAAAAGTTAAATGGATATTAAAGAAAACGTAAAAAGTGATAAATAATGTTGATCATACCCTTGCTGTTGTAGATACATGAGGTTCTGGTACATTATAAGAGTCCATATTAGCATGTAATATGTGTATTAAAACGTTTTTGGGACCACATAAACCGTGGAAGTCATCCATATCTATAGCCCAAGTCATAGCACCTGCATACCCCTTTGATTTTATCCAGTTCATTTTTATTTGTACAGACTCTGGATCTTCGTAACCAACCCATTGTGTTCCTTTATAAGCATACGGTACTTTTCCATGTTCGTCCCATTTTTTTGTCCATCCATTATTTTCTCCCAAGAGTTCGGTGCAAATCTAAAATTTAAATTGATGACCATAATTAGTACAGCCACAAAATTTTTAATAATTTATATAATAATTACTTCATAGTAAGCTAAAAATCCAGTAGCATTGGTGTACGGTCCAGGAGCTCCACCACCTGCCTCTTTATTAATATAAGTTCCCAAATTATAGTTCGTATTTCCAGCACTTAGAGTGAATGTTCTTCCATAGAAGGGTATACCAATTACCAGTTTTTTGGGAGAGCAACCTGCATCTACCCATAGTTGTGCACCATCATTCTAAATAAAAGTATAAAATAATTTAAATTGTGTTAACGTTAAAGCCGTGAATATTTTAAGCGTAATAAAAATATATGTTAAATATACTTACTACATTCAGTTTTTCATAAGCCCATTGATCATGAGGTCTCTTATATAGTGGACTGTGGGTATCGGCAAAACCAGCCCAGTTTCCTCTTAGATCGTAAGACATAACATGGATAGCATCAACTAGGCTACAATAAATTAAATAATTAAAAATTAAAATATATTCCGAAAGATTTCCGCGGTTAGTACAATTGAACCTAGAGCTAAGATTTATACTATTACAGAAATTAATATTAAACTCAATAGTCTTCCGGGTTGAACCGCGTCTATTAACATTGCGCCGAGCTTTCGACATCCCCTTCGAGGTCTTCTTCAGGGCTTCCGACGTCTCAGTTTCTCGAGCCCCCAGACACTATTACTCTCATCATTACGTAAGTAATGCATTAGTACATCCAGAGAAGACACTTCTATTAATTTGTTTATAATTATATTTAAAAAACTAATGGGCTAACAGATACACACAACAGGATTTAAAAAGTATCTCAATATAGTTTTGGCTTAATCTGCTCATATTTTGGTGTAATTCTAATTCTTTTTACAATCCTCTATGTATAGTATCATTAATTTTTAAACTAAGTATTATAAGTAAGATTATTGTTGTCTTTATTTCTATTTTTGAATTGTCATCCAGGTAAACCAACGTAAAATTTACTTACTCGCATAACTCGGGTACGTAGTAACCTTCTTGAAGTCTAAATTTGGCTACCGGTACAGCCATTGTAATTTCCCATCCTTTTCCTTCGTTGTCAAAGGCCCTACGAAGTTCTTCGACAAAATAAAAGAATTTATCCTTGTCAGAAAAGCTACCACCTCGGTCTGCTGCTCCAGGATATTCCCAGTCCAAGTCAAAACCGTCCAAATTGTATTCCTTCATAAAAGCTAAAAATATAAAAAAAGGGGTAAGTAGATACATATTAATTGTTTTGTATTTTTCTTTAATTTAACTCATTTTTATAAAAAAAAAAAAAATTAAAATCCAATTATTAAGCAAATAGTTTTGATCTTGATATTTTAAACAACATAAACATAAAACGTTTAAACCAGCCTATAATAATTATCTCAAGTTTGTTGTTTTATGCATAACAGGTACAAAAGCCACACCTTCTTGTGTCCAAAATTAAAAATTAACTGAAGACAGAGGACTGGAGAAAAAAGAAACTATGCAAAATATTACACGTCACGTTAATCAAGAATATCGAGAACTTAAGAATGGAAATACGGAAAGTGGATAAATAGGGAAAAATCATCCTGATAAGTTGTGGTGTGATTTAAAAACCCACAATAAAACAAACGAATAAACTGAATTTCAAAAACACAAACCAACTGTTAAAAAAAATTTATAAATGGCTTGTAACGATTTAAAAATCTTATATTTTATAAGATTTATTTATTTATCTCTAAAAATTATTAGAGAGACGAACACATGGCACAGGAACTTTACGTTCTAATAGACGAGATAATCCAATAATTGTAACTGGCACGAACCTAAGAAAAAGATAGTATATACGGAGAAGACAAGTCTGTGTTTATTTATCAAAATGGAAGGAGGAGAGAGATGTATGTAGTATATCCACTTCCTATCATCCGAAAATGATACAAACAACCAGCAGATTTAATCAGCTCAAATTAAAACCAAGAGATATAACTGACTATAATCACAATATGTCTAGTGTTGATGGAACTGATCAACTAATTTCATATTACTCATGTCCACGAAGGACCATTCGCTGGTTTAAAAATTTTTGTTTCCTTTGTTGGACGTAACAATTGCCAATGCCTACTTTATTTATCAAAAGGGAAAATAAGACCGCCAAAAACGATGTACGAGTAGCTTTGATTTTAGAAATGATCTTATAAAAAGTTATATTGATATACCTCTTGACCAGACTAACGGCAGGAGTTGTGAAGGTGATGTAAAAGTGGGTCCTATACATGGAGGTAAATGTAAGGAAATGACTCGGAGAAATGATGAACAAATTATGCATCCTCATTATCAAGAAATGATTCCTGTACCTGAAAGATATAGATGCAAGAATTATTATTTACGATGTCGTCAATGTTTTAAAAATAAAATTCGAAAATAAACGTCTTGACGATGTAGGATTGTAATGAAAATCCACCACTATATCCTGGATTATGTTTTCAAAAGTGGTATCTGGACCTAGAGTAGCAAAGAAGTTTTTTTATTTCGTTTTTTACAATTTCTTATAGTATGGGTTGTATTTGTATTTATTATCATTCATTTATTATTCGTAGTTTATAATCAATAAATGCATTTTCATAACGTTTAATACGACGGTCATGACCGTCTTGTCCAATAAGACCATTTGTATAACTCTAATGGGACAAGACGGCTGTGACCGTCATGTATTTTTTGTATTAAATATGAGGTATTTTGTACCATTTTGTCTTAATAGGTTAATCAAAGGGTTAATAGATAAAACACATCAATAATATACATTTCTAATAACTATCTAGTAATAAACTAATCTTAGATTTACTAATGCACTCACCAACTACACTTCTAATAAAAGAGTCCCTCCTTGCCTGTTGTGCTACCAGCGCGGAATATTTAGATCCACCTTCGGCCCATCCGCCTACTGCTACTTCTAATTTAACGTGAGGATGAGTTTTCTTAATATCACTGAAGTTTCTAAATCCATTTTGTTCAATATCCAGCTAAAATACAAATTGTGGAAGTAAGGGCACTAAGGTAAGTATACATTATGTGTAAGGTTATAAGATCTTTAACGTACCCAAATGCGAAAACCGATATATGCGATATATTCATAGAGTTTCCTAAAAGACAGTATTCAAATACTTAATGTTTCCTATATTCAACTTTAAATATCTGGTCCTACTAGGACGAGGAAGTCCCAATACTAGATATAGTAACCCTAATAATAAAGATATTTATAAGCTGTTATTCTGTCGATAAATAATATTTATTATTGACAGAAAATAACCAATGATTTACAAAAAATTATCTAAAAAGTGAAAAATCTAAAAGTAAAGGAGTCATTAAAAGCCAATGAAAAAGTTAACTTCTAATTTTGTTATCTTCACTGTAAGTCCCAATACTAAGTTTAGGTTGGTAAAAGACAGGATATTCAAAAAAGTGAACCAAGCATACCTAATTTACTTCGGCTACTTAGCTAGAAAAACAAAGACCATGGAACTATTGGTCGAGGAAGGAAAAGTAGAAGGCAGAAGACCAAGAGAAAGATCTCCAATATAATGGCAGACCAAATGAAGACTCTGGTAAGATAATCACTATATGAAGTGGTCCATATGCCACAGGATCGCAGCCAATAGACACAGTCAGCTAATTATACTTAGAGTGTTATCACGCCCTGGTATGGGCTCAAGGAATGAGGAGGAAGTCCCAATACTATACATAGTAACCCTAATAGTAAAGATATTTATAAGCTATTATTCTCTCGGTTAAGTAATATTTATTAGTGACAGAAACCACTAACGATTTACAAAGAATTATCCAAAAAGTGAGAAATCTAAAATTGAAGTAGTCACTAAAAGCCAATGAAAAAGTTTTTCTTCTTCTTTCTCTTTTATAAGCAATTCTGCTTGTTCATTGGCGGATCAATATCTCTGTGGAAGGTTCACTTCATCTTTTGCGCAGTCGTTCAAATTGGATTGGACATTAGACATGAGCACAAGGTTATCTCACGTGGTGGTGATGTCAACTGATCACCAAACTCGTGCGATTTGACCGCGTTTGCTAGAATTTCTAGTTAAGTTCCTAATATGACACCAATAAAATAAAACATAATATCAGAAGAAGAAGAAGATTTAAAGTCTGCGTATAAAGAAAAATAAGTTGACTTTGAAAATTCCCTATATATGCATATTTTATAGATAAAAATGGCCCACTTCTCACCTCTGGATCTATTACCAAAATACTCCATGATTTATCGTCAACTCCAATAAATGAGTAGATTAAATGCGTACATAGGTCGACTGGGACATCTTCCAAAGCATAGCTTCCACTACCTGGTCTGTATATAGCCCAATTGCTAAAGTAACACACTACTTTGGCTGGCGTTGCATCTAAAATAAATAAATAAATAAATAAATAAATAAGTATCTTTTGAGTAAATAATAAATAAACTAATAAATAACTGTATTTAAAAATAAAATGACATACAGTAATGAGTGCATTAAGACCCGGAAAAATAACGCAAAAGATTGAAGACATAATACGTTGTGAAACAAAAAGAGATGAAGCTAGTAAAGGTGGTGTAATTTATATTACATTAATTTACCACTATTGATAGTTTTCCACTTTTAGACGTTAGCTTATGAGCTAGTTAAATTCAGGCATACTTATAGCATTCTTAAAGGCATGACGTCGAACAATAACGAACATTTAGGAACTATTCTTAAATCAACTTCTTCTTTAAGTGCCGCCTTCCAATCGGAAGTTGGATATCATCATAATTATCTTTACTTTATCTACTGCTGCTCTGAAGAATTCTATAGAACTGCATTTAAACCAGTCCCTTAAATTCTTCAATTATGACACTCTCGTTCTTCATATACTCCTTCCTCCTCTTATCTTTCCTTTTATTATCAGCCTTAGCAGTTCATATCGCTGTTCCCTCATTACGTATCCCAGATATTGCAACTTCCTTATTTTTATTGTGTTTATTATTTCGCATTCTTTGCCCATTTCTCGCAATACTTGTGCTCTTACTCTCATTTCTAATTTAATGTCTTTGTTGCATAGAATTGTTTTTATTTTCACAAACGCACTTCCAGCTATTTCTATCCTGGCCCTTATTTCGGTTGTGTGACCATTATTGCCTGAAATCCAGGATCCTAGGTGTTTGTATTTATCAACCTATTTCTATCGGTACATTTTCCAAATATATGTTTGTTGATATATTTGTTTTCTTTGTTATTATCATGTATTTGGTCTTTCAACACGGACTCATAATTTTAAAAATTACGTAAAACAGACTTAACTGTTTATCGTTAAAATCTACTCTACACTTAAAAGCATTTTCACGAATTGTTTTTTCAACAAAAAGTTTCTGTTTACCTTGCAAAAACACTTATCGATGTGTTTCATCATTTGATGTTTTGATGTCGCAACCTATGATACAAAGAATAACACGTATGATATTGCGCAGTACACTGTCAGCAGATCCCTTACTCTTGACGTTACAGTGAGAGTGACTGTCATTGTAATATATCTGTTGGTAACGAGAATTTTATTCATTTTTTAGCTTTTGGCTTCTTTCGTAAGCTTGTTGTAGTATTTATGGTGTTTTGTGAGATTTAAGTTGATTTGTAGGCTTTTAGTGTAAAAAAATTGTGGTATACATACTCTTAATGGACAATATTTTGGTGTTTTCAAAGTTATAAATAAGGTATGTTTAATTATTAAGAAGAATAGTAAAGGAAAACAAAGTTTACTTTTCTCTCGCCCATGTGTTCCTCTCCAAAAACATTCACTGGAGATAAAAAATCAGGGTCTACAAGACTATTATCAGAGCAATAGTATGTTATTAATGCGAGACATGGGTGATGACAGCAGACACAAAACGAAAGTAAAAAATTAACGAAAACGGAATATGGAGATCTAGGTACAACCATGAACTCTACCAACTGTTCAAAGTTGCAGTGATCTCAAAATTCGATAAACTTCATTTCGATAAGCTGGTCATGTAGTGAGAATATAGACTGGAAAATTGCCAACAAGAGCCTTAGATAGTAAAATACAGGTCGCAAGATCAAAAAGCAGGCCACGACAAAGGTGGGACGATAAAGTGGCACCGGATGCGCAAAATTTGCTAGACGTAAGAACCTGGAGAAGATCAGCGTGGGACCAGCAATGTTGTAGGCATAGTTTGGTGGAGGTTAAGTCTTGATTTGGCTGTAGTGCTATTGGGGAGAGAAATGTTTAATTATTATGGTGTCACTCAACCATACTCATACCCCTCCTGAAATTTTTAGGGACTTTGACTAGGAATAATTTATAATCTAAACATACAATGAGGTTTCATGGTTTTCTCAATATGAATTAAAGAAAGGATCTAAGTAAAGGGTGATGTTGATCCTTTTCTTCATCTGCCACAATCAAAAAGTTTATTTATAAATTAACTTAAAAGGCAGGAAAGGCTTTCAAAAAGAGTCAAAGAGGATTGTGGAACAAATAATTACATAATCTCTTTCGATCTCGACTGTATTTTAGAATTAAGAAATTAAACCTGACACTTAAAGAAGATATAAGAAATAAGAAAAATTAAAGAAAATTGTAACTTAAAACCGTGTTTTTTATTTGTTCTGTCGAGAAAAAATTGCCTTTTTATTGCCAGTTAACAAATAATGTTGTTCCGACCGCCGATGTCCTTACAGGGAATATTTAAAATCACTCTCACTGTGATGTCATGCGCGAACTCGTCCTAATTTCGCGCTCGGGAGTATCATACCTGCTATTCTTTGTATAGTAGCGGTAATATATATAATAGAATACTTCAAATGAACGATTTGGATATTTTGATAGTTCTGCTTTAATATATAGCGCAGCGGCTGAGACATTACAGTGACCATCCCTCTTACAGCATGCTTGCATTGAGTGATGTAGAATAGCTTTTGTAATTACTGTTGCTATTTTTATCTTTATTGTTACTAAAAGAACTTTATAAAAACAGAATGTTGTGAATTGTCCCTTCTCTACAACATAAATAGAGAGCCAGACGACGTTGGAACTGGTCAAGTTTGTGGACTTGGATTAAACAATTCTTCGTCGAAAGCAAGTTATAAGTTGAACTGGTAATGAAAATGGTCGTGTAAATTAAAATCACTTCATTTTCTTATTGCACTTGTTACAAAAATACTACGTATTTATCTTAAGTTTACTTTTTGTTCTGCTGTTTCACGAAGAGACGCTTAATTATTTCGCGTGAATTTGACTGGCGATTACGAAATGCGATGGGTATGGTTATAGGGTCGTGATATTTGTTCGTTACTTGAATCGAAACTGTTCTGTCGAAATGTTACTCTAGTCCACTATTTATAGGAGAAAATATCCCAGCTTGTGACGATTTTAACCGTCATAACGACCTTTCTGCAACGTACCAACGATTTTTAACGTCGAAAACGAACTTTTCTTCGTGCTATATAGTGGCGTTTAAGCTAGTTTTTTCGATATATTTGCAAGCAAAAAATACATAAAAAGCAATAAACTGAAGATTTATTGCCTATTTACAAGTTCCGAAACTAAATACACCTTACTGGTCTCCCTTTGTGGACACATTAAACGTGTTGTTTTTATAATAAATTATCGAAGAAATATGATACTTATCTGGGTTAGCAAAACAATCTTTTGAACAGGTAGCTCAACTGAAAAATGGAATTAAACGTTTTGTGGTCGTTAAATACTGGTTTTTGTATTGCCGATGAGGAGGTTTGGAGCTAACAAGATAACGAGAAGTATTCTTCTTTATTGATTGTAATGAAAAGAATAAAGAATTATTAAGGATAATATGTTAAGACTTTAACACACAAGTTAAATCTAAAATTAACGTAAGTAAACAGTTCAAGTTCAAGTCAGTTTAAAACGAGATTCTTTTCATTATTAAAGCTGCCGCTAGCAATCATGTTTTTTTTGTTTGTTGTTTTTCCGACAAGGTGACAGATATATAATTTTTTGACATTACACTTTTAACCATTTAAAAAACAATGAAATATAACCTTTTGTTTTATTTTCAAAATCAGATTTCCCTGCTCTTTGACTATACATATTACACATTATAATTTTATGATTTAATACTTACATCAATAAATTTGTATCAGTAAAACAACCAATATCTCGATACGTCCCTGGACAGCGGCTACTCGAATTTATAACGTCACTTTTTTCGATGGGCGATAGAAATATGGAGGCAACAATTTGTCTGAGTCACATAGATTACTTATACACTTAATTCATTTTCTCCTTCTTTCGAATTTTCTACGTCACTATCATCATTCAAATCAATAATAAATTTATTTCCACCATTAATGTGGAAGTGGCCAATCTTCTTATAATATTCTTCAACTTTGATTACTTTGGCGATTCTTTTCTGCCAGTCTTCTTTGGTAATATTAGATACTTCTTTTTTAATTATCTCAATTACCTTCTTGTCAAATTTAGGAAATGTATTTGCACGCCTTATACTTGGTTTTAATTGTCCCCAAATTAACTCTATAGGATTGAAAACACAAAAATAGGGGGGAAGTCTCAATATAGTGTGTCCATGCTTTTCGGCAATATTCTCTAGGGCGTATAATTTTTCAAATTTCTTTATGTGTAGAACTTCAATGAGTTGTTTTTTTGTATAAAAATCTTCGAAATACAAATCATTTTCCATTAAAAAATTTTGCAGTTCAGCTTTGTTTGAAGATGAATTTGGTATCTTAGTGAGCTGTCGGGAATGATACGAAGCGTTGTCAAGCACTATTACACTGTTTGGCTCCAAGTTTGGGATCAGTGAGTTTTCAAACCAATCTTCAAAAATATCAGCTTCCATATTCTTGTGGTAGTCAACGTTACAATCTTCTATTTTCTTCCCACATAATTTTAAAGCATTCGGAACCCAACCTTCACTTCCTCCGCAATGTACAATAATTAGCCGCGACCCTTTATTTGCAGGCATTTCTGATATGCACATGTTTGAACCATCTGTCCATCCTTTCTTAACTGTATCGTGGGTATCATACCAAGTTTCATCTAAATAGTAAATTCGCCTACTTTCTTGCCTATATTTTGTAATTTGTTCTAGATATATATTACGTCTGTTGACTATTCTTTGACTTTCCATAACTGCTTGACGTTTATTTATTGTTTTAAATTTAAATCCCATTTTCTTTATCCAATTTTGAAGAGTTTTATCACACCATTTCATATTCCAACCGGTTGTTTTCAATTTCTTTCGTATTATTTCTATTGTAGGTATTTCATTGCTTTTGTAGCAATCGTATATTGTGGTCTTCAATAGTTTTATAAGTGAAGCATCTATAGGTCTTGAACATTTGTAGTCACATCGCTTTTTGCGATGATAGGGTTCATTTTTAACTATTTTGTATATACTTGAAAGTGGAATTTCTGTTAAATCGGAAGTTGCTTGTGCCAACAGTTTTTCATCGAAGCCGAATTTCTTATGTAGATTTTTGTACACATTCAAACATACTTGCTGTGTTTCAGCATTTAAATGTATTCGAATCTTGTTTACAGGTACCTTTTTGTCAGGATTTATATTCACACCGGCACTGTTACTTTGTACATGATCATTATTTTTAAAAGCAATGTTTTCAACCACATTCTCCCAGGGACGCCACATCACTATTCAAAATAATTAAATTCCATCAAACACACCTACACTCTAGTCTAGTCTGCTTCCCAACTAAACTAAACTAAAATATTTCGCACCGACCAATTCAAGTCTGTGCGAACCAGTCGGGTCAGTGTAATCAGATATTAGATCAAAGGGTTCCGCTCTTAAAGAGTTTCTACAATATTTCTTACTTACACATACCATGACCGCAACCAGCCACTGGTAGTCTGCTCGTACACACCCCTCTTCATAAAACAGTCGCGTTTACAATTCCAGTTTTGTTAATTGCGGTGAAAATCATTACTTGTACAGAGTTTTAAAAAATTGAGGATTTGATATTAACACTGAGAATTTAGTGATGATTTTGATATTAAACAGTCTTCACAGGATAATTTTGCATTCAAAACTAATGACTGTAGAACCGTAAATACAATAAATCTATAAATTTTGGATAATTAAGCAAAAAGTATCATGGACTATAAAAAGACAAACAAGAGCACCATCGTTTATCTTATAGATTTGGATTACACTTTTTCATTTCATATTATAGTACTGAAAATATCTAATGTGTACACTCTGCCCACACTTTTCCTTTTCAAAGTTCTTTGAAATCTTCTTGATCAGGCGGCATCTACACATACGACTTGGAATCCGAATACTCTGCTATTTGTATTTCCAATTCTTCTCACTTTCAAAACTTTTTAGTGGTATTCAAATGTGATAAACACAATATTGTAGATGTTTATATAAAAAGATGTATTTTAAAAATTAATTACTGAATTTTATTTCATAAAACTTACCTAGTGTTTGGAAGCTTGCAAGAAAAACTAGGACTACTGTCTTGAGAAACATTCTAAAACAATATAATAAAAAATGATAAACAACTCACCTTACAATTTCTTTATATAGGTAGGTATATTTAAAAATATTTATTTTGAAAATCCAATGCGTGTAACATTGAATCATAGGAATTTCTCTTCCGTTGATAATGAATTTTAGGAAATTGTTATTATTGTATTGATTTTGATTATCAGATAACGACGAAAATCTTATTTATTTATTTTTTATCTTAAAGATAGATATATAATTATCAACTTTTAGTGATTAATATTATTTAGAAAGGAAACATTTAAATATGAATAACATTATTTCGTGTTTTTTTCGGTAAATAAAACAATGAATGAAAATAGATAACATTTTTAATACGTTTTTACGAAAGAAACAAGAAACCTATTCATTATGAGTCTACTCAATGAATATAATATCCACAGGCCACATACTCGAGTTAAAACATAAGAGAAATTTTAATACGTTTTATTTAAAAATCCTTTAGAAAAAGTATATAATTAACTAGTTGACTGCCAGAGCTAATACATAAAACTTTAATTTTTATTGACTAGTTTTTTTTTGAAAACAATACCTTATGTGTTTATAAAGTCAACGTGAATTTGGAAACTTGATTATTTTTTATTTTTATTGACATTTTTAAGGTAACCAATGCCTATAGGACACATGACAATATTCTGGACTAACTTTTTTTTCAAATGGCGAAACATATTAAAAATACTTATAGAAAAAAACATTTAATTACACTTTGAAAATACTCCAGTGTAAGAAAGTTATTTTCAAAATGGGCTAATAAAATCAGGAGTTTGGAAAAGTAGGAGCGAACTCGCAAAGTGGACGTTTCAAAAACAGTCTCATCTTTTTCACAAACCTTTAAAGAATGCTTGTTTATATTATAAAAGTATGTTCGCTCTTCTTATTTCTAAAATTCTGTAAGAAATAATATACCAATCCATTTGAGTCGGAAACTGTACTGCATAATCGAACCCACAGGCTAAAGAGCAAGAGCGAACCCACAGGCTTTCGTTGGGTTTTCGTTCAAAGTTCGCCCCTTCACCTCTGTAGCCGTATCAACACGCCGGTGTTTCTGTAGTTGGGGAGAAATAGTTTTAGATATATGTATATGCGTTGTTCTTGAGTTTTTGGGTACCATAGGGTGCTTGTCGTAGTTTTACTTACTCGAATTTCAAGAAAAACCGACAAAACCGAGAAAACGACCGAAAAGACCGAGAAAATGACAAGGAGAAAGCAAAAGAAAACGGAACAATGTCTCGTTAACGTGTGTAAAACCAAACGAAACTGTGGTGAAGCGTACGTTTTAGGAAATACAAAGAAAACTGTATCTGCGCTAACAATCGGACTGCCATGTATGTGTAGTAAAATGTGTTTTGAAAAGTTGGGCATGAACAATATCAATATGATTTTTAAACACTTTTGGCAAATCGCCAACTACGATAATCAAAACAAATACCTTTTAAAAGTGGTAAGTTGGATTGATTGTAAAAAGTCTTTAATTACTGACAGAGCTAGTAGGAAGCTTCGGACCATAGAATATAGTGTTTCAATAAATGAAGAAAGAAAATGTGTTTATCACCAAGCTTTTATTAGCATTCATGTCATAAGAAAGGTATAAAAATTATGCATCTATGGCATAAAAAAAGTTCGCGTTGTTTTAGATAAGCAGACCACCACAGGAACTATGCTGGGTGATAACAGAGGCAAGCTAAGTCAAGGAAATAAAATGGTTGGATATAGAACTTCCTCTCAAATACCAGGGTGCTCTCAAGCTTCTAGAAAAAAAAGAAGAAGGTCTTACAAGATTTTCTTAATTATGTACCATGCTCACAACTGAAGTCGAAGAAACTGTAGACGATGAAAATCAAATTGAGTTTAATTAAAGCATTATTTGTGAATTTTGCAAATTATTTTACTGCTATTAGCTTCCACGTGCTTTGTTAACAAAACTATGTTTTGCAAAATCTTGCAAAATCTTTTTTTTAATAACGGTATAGTTTTATGAAAAATCCAAGGAAAGAGAAGCATAGGGAGGCGTAGAATGTCATGGCTGCGCAACCTAAAAGAGTGGTATGGAAGTACATCAAATAAACTTTTCAGAGCAGCCATCTCAAAAGTCCGAATAGCTATGATGATTGATAAATCACATTAAACCGTGGTTTTGTCAAGAGGTAAAAGAACTCTCTGAAGTAAAACGCAAAAGCTACCTAAGATAAAAAAGCACACAATCGGAAGAAGTTCTCGCAGAATATGTCCAAGTAAGAAACGAAGTTTGATGAATGAAACTAAAATCAATGCTACAAGGTTTAAATTACAAATCGAATCAAACAGGATTAAAAATGAATCTCGACAAAACAAAGATATTAAGCAACAGCCTAGAAAACATCACGATAGATAACATCAACATAGAAAAGGTAGAACAATATATATATATATATATATATATATATATATATAAAATCAAACCCTAGAAATTAAAAGAAGGACACAATTGTCATGGGCTGCTTTAGTAAGTTGAGCTTCATTTAAAAAGACAGAAAAATCCCAATTTACTTAAAACGAAAAACCTATGACACTTGTATACTACTAGTTGCAACTTATGGATTGGAAACTATGTTAATACCAAGAAAAATGGCAGAACAATTAAGAGTAACTCAACGGGCCGTGGAGAAGGCCATGTTAAACATAAGCATCAGAGAGAAAATTCATCGAAATACGTCGAAGAACTAAAGTAGCCGACATCATGGGAAAAATAGCGACATTGAGATGGCAATTGGAGGAGGCCTATGTCCAAAATTGGATTAAAGAATGCTGAAGAAGAAGAAAAACAAACGAAGTAAACGCAAGAACAAAATCAATCAAAAGAGAAAAGCTAAATTCACCAGCGACATGGACTACGACCTAAATGGTGCCCAAAAGAAAGTATGGAAAATGCTTCGGACTAGAAAAAAACTAGTTAACGAGTTCGTGCAGACTGAGGGAGCACCTGTAGAGACATGACAACAGCATTTTAAGGAGCTATACAATGTTGAAGAAACGCTAAATATAAACTAATACAAAGCAGATAAAAGTGTTGCAATCAATGACAAAGAGGTAGAAACAAAGAAGCTAAAAAATAGAAAATCACCTGAAACAGATGGTATATTAAATACAACGATGAAACTTTTCACGAGTATTCTTAAGCACAAATTGGAAAGGAAAATCACTAATGCTAAAGAACAACAAGGTTTTACAAGGGGACGGTCTAAAACAGATGCAGTATTCATAATGAAACAAATAAAAGAAAAAGCTATAGAGTTCGGCATGCCAGCGTATATTTGCTTTATTGATCTAACGAAGGCGTCTGACAGGGTTCGCCTGGGAGACATTCCAAATATATTAATAGAAAATAAAACACCGACCAACATAATAAAGATAGTCCATAACCTAAATAATAACAATGTAACCAAAGTTAGAGCAGAAGACCAATTTACTGAAAATATTCCAATATCGAGAGGAATTAGGCAAGGCGACAATTTAAGGCCCTTCGTGTTTAACCTAGTCATGGGCAAAATTATAAACAAAGTAACATCTCTTAATTTCGGATACAGAATGGGAAACAAAAGAATTGGTATGGGGTGTTATGCAGATGATGCAGCAATTATTGCCGAATCAGAAGATGATTTTCAGAGGCAGCTTTTTCAGTTCTTTCAAATAAGCGGCCAACTAAATCTGCAATTAAGATATCTGGTCATAGATTTATCAAGTACATACGACCCAGTAAAGGACCTAGGGAGTCAGATCAACAAAGCATCCGAATTGTCAGGATGTCTGCGGGAGATAGTCTGGTTAAATCCGTATATGCGCACAGATAGTAAAATTAGAATCTACAAGACTTGCATATGACCGATCATGACATATGGCATAGAAGTGCGCGAAGATACCAACAAAATGAAACAGATGCTAAGGGTTGAAATGAAAACATAAGAACAATACGGGGCAAAACAAGAAGAGACAGGGTGAGAAATACAAACGTTAGAGAGCTGTGTAAAATTCAAGATATTGTAAGATGGAGAAGGCAGCGTATGAGGACGAATGGATGAGAATAGACTCCCAAAAACTGCCCTAGAAAACCACCCGCTCGGTTCAAAACCTCCCGAAGACCACCTAATAGATGGAGGGATGATTGGCAATCTACCTCTCAGGAAATTAACCAGAGGCAGCTTCAGAATTAAACATATGGAAAGACCTCCAAGAAGTAGAAGAAGAGGAGAAATTTATCAATTCAGTTTTTGAAATAGTAAAATGAAAAAAGGGCTAACTTCTAATTAATTAGAAGTAAGTTCAGAGTTATTTTAAATATTTATTAGCTTAAATTCACAGTACTTTAGTAAACCTATTTTAAAATTATTAACATTAATTTTTTATGCTAAATGATTTACTTTAATAAAATTTAATAAAATAATCCCGTTTCCAATTTGGTGCTTTCAGAATGTTTCTAGATATAATAGTTTATGCAAAATTACATTGTAGATAAAAGCTTTCTGATATAAATAATTTCAATTTAGGAATAACTGTTATGTGAAACGTCTCGAAATTTTTATAGTTAAATACATGTAATATTGTCCCTATTATCACTCGAAATTAAAGTTTCTTGTGCATTATTAGAAAAAGTTACCAATAATTTTCTAAAAATAGACTTCTGAAGCTATTTTTGCAATAATTAAATAACAAACTAACAAAAATAACTTTGGAAACTCTGGTTTTAAAAGATTTTCTATGTTTTTTTAAAACAATGTCACATTTCCATATAATTTACTTGTCTTTGACATTTAAAATCAACTACCGATCTTACATTATTTATAAGTAAGAAATGACATTTAATTTTTTGAATATTTAGTTTATAACATATTACTTTCACCAAATTTATCACAAGTAGTTGTTCGATAAAAATGTATCAATGTGTCAGAAAAAATGCTTTTTACTTACTAATATCTCTAATGGAATTTGAGCTTAATTCTTTAAAATTAATCTTGGTAGAGCTCATATCGCAAACTTAATATTTATATAAAAATACTCATTTACCGCGCTGGTAATAATTACAATATACTATTGCACGATTTAATGGTTTGTGTATTCGGTATTGAACGAATAAATTTGTATATTTGTATAATAGCAACAAATTTAAAACCAACTACCAAAATTATTTTTATAATTATAAATATTTCGAGCGAAAACCAAAAAAAAAATACAGCCTCTTACCTGCAACAACAGAATGCGTGTGTCTACCTCAAGTCACAACAAAAAAAAACGCACTGCATAAAACTAAGGTTGTTAACTTTTCAGTGTCAGCTCAACAGTATTATCAATTCAAAACACCTCTTTCTTTTATACGACCCAAGATGGTTAACACTTTTTTTGTGTCATCGACATCGCCCAGCAGGAACATCATGTAAATAATAATAAAAGATTGTACACTAAGAAAAATAAGTTCCTGGTTTTAATTAAATCAATTTGCAAATGAATTCTATTTTTGGAAGTACCTCCATTTATTTGGAATACAAATTCAATACAATTATATGATCCAAATATGTATACACTGTGTTAAAACAGTAATGCATACAATTCATAATTTTGTTCCTAATGGAGTTTGAGATAAACAAAAAAGTCGATTTTTATTATTAAATGGTAATTTGTTTGTTGCACATCCAATTTTTCCTGTTACATTGTAAAAGTAAGACAAGTCCGTCTATGCCATAGCTTCCTTAATGGGACACTATATAACTTCTTCTGGTTTACAGAAACTTAAACGTGCTCTAGCTAGTACAAAGATGGACGAACTGCTAAAAAATACCCGTGCAAGGTTTAATAACGACCTCTACCAGGCCAATTTTATTTTCAATAATAAAAGAGCCAATTATGATATTTATTTTGACTAAAAGTTTTTTTAGCCACCCGAGGAAAAAAAATATAGCCGCCTGCCGGGAAAAGTATACATATTTACATCAAGATGCACATTTTATTACTTTATTTTATGCTAAATGTAATAAGAAAATACAAAAAAACATAAATAATTAAGTGAAAATCAGTTGAAAAGAAAGTCAATGCGAAAAGATGTGAGGATCACAGACTCATTAGCCTGATGAGTCACACTTTAAAGATATTCTTAAAAATACTACATCAAAGATTATACAAACAATGTGAATGGGACATCAGTGATTCCTAGTTTCGGTTTAAGCAAGGTTTAGGAACACGAGAAGCAATAGTAGCAACACAGGTGCTGGTCCAAAATTGTTACGATCAGAGGAAGGATGTATTCCTATGCTTTTTAGATTACCAAAAAGCGTTTGATCGTGTCCAACACCACAAGTTAATGCAGATTCTCAAGAAAGTTGATATAGACCAAAAAGACATAAGATGCATTGAAAACTTGTACTGGCATCAAATGGCACAGTTAAAAATAGACAATTCTATATCCAAACGCATACATATAAGAAGAGGCGTTCGACAGGGATGTGTGCTTTCCCCTCTTTTATTTAACATTTATTCGGAAACCATATTTCAAAAGTTTTTGGAGGATGTAGAGATGGGAATCAAGGTGAATGGAGTATTGATCAACAACATACGATATGCTGATGATGGTGTCTTAATTTGTGACAACATAGTCGATCTTCAACAACTTGTCACTATAATCGGAGAATACAGTAAGCGAATGGGATTAGAGATTAATACCAAAAAGACCAAATTTATGATCATCTCCAGAAACTTAGATGCACTTGAAAACTCCACCATAACACTGAATACCAAGTCCATTAAAGAGTGAGTAAATTTAAATACCTGGGATTGTGGCTTTTTGAAGACTGGGCATCAGACAGGGAAGTAAAATGTCGCATTGAGCAAGCTCGACAAGCTTTCGTAAAATTCAAGAAAGTACTGACTTGTTCAGAGTTTGATCTTCAACTGAGACTAAGGTTTACTAAGTGCTACGTATGGTCAGTGCTGCTGTATGGCGTAGAGGGCTGGACACTCAAAACGAGGGATATAAACAGATCAGAAGCTTTCAAAATGTAGCTTTATCGCCGTATCCTAAAAATACCATGGACGGCGAAAATCACAAATATAGATGTCCTTAAAAGAATAAACCAAGAACGCCAACTTTTCGAAACCATCAAGAAAAGGAAAACGGCGTATCTAGGTCACATCATGCTAAATGAAAAATACCAGTTCCTTCAACTTATAATCGAGGGTAAAATTGAAGGCAAGAGAGGAATGGGACGCAAGGAAGTCCTGGTTTCGAAACATAAGGCAATGGACAGGGATTAACGACATACAATCTCTGATACATATTGCAAGAAATAGAGAATTAATGGAAAATGTGATCGCTAACATCCATTAGTGGATTTGCATCTGAAGAAGAAGAAGAACAGCAATTTTATACAATCGCTTACAAAGATCCTAAACACATTAAGAAAATTAGCCTAATGATTATTAGGAATGCCGATCGTAATTTAATTATGTTTGATAAAAAGTTTAGAAATGGTTGGATACCGTACATAAAGAAATTAAAATGTTTTCCACAATTAATTTATTTTTAGTGCAAATATTTTTATTTAAAATTTAAGAAGTTTTATTTACCAAACCCGTATTTAACCCGTAATCGGGTTAAAGCTAGGGTTACTATTACTAGGGATACAATAAAGAAATGTTCTAGTTTACTCCGAAGTATTTTTTAAACAAAAATTAAAAGTGATATTTTAGTACTTTGGATATCCACTTTGAATATAAATTATCCTTAGCCCGGTAGCATTTGTTTCAGAAAAAAATTAATATACAAGTAGGTGAAAGAAATTTACGTTAAATAAAATTATGCAAGATTACTATTTATAAAAAAAAATTAAACAAAATATGCAAAACTATAAACAACGGGTTAAAGACACATATATTTATTTTATACCTAAAATTTAGCAGTGTTAAGCAATATGGAGAACACCAGTGGATTTTACCGTGCCTTTTACTACAAAGAAAGGTTTTCTGTGAATTTCGTTAATTGTTTAGAGGTGTAAGTTGGTTGAATGTACTGTATCAGCTAACATTACCTCTTCCTTGCTTCTATTAATTTTTAGGCCAACGATTTTGATTTTATAATTTAAATGGCAGCAAATTTTATTATATGCTCATTTCTACTAAGGTAATTTAGATAATAAGGCTCCTTGTATACAGAGTGGCCCAATAGTCTGGAAACGGCTAATTATCTCGTAAATTACTAAACATAATTATACAAATTTTGAGATACGCCTATTTTGGGATACGGAGATTCCATATTTGGTATTTTCAATGTTGCCATATTTTCAGTTTTTTTTATATTACTAGTAACTTTGGTTTTTCAAATGCATCACCCTGTATATTCAGTCATTATTGGAATCTCATAATAAATACGAGTTCAATCATATGTAACACATGAGTTTATGCAGTCTGGAAGGTCTTAAATACATAAAACAGAAGTCTGGCAACGCCTAAATTGTTTCAATACATGTTTTAATACTAACTATTTTCAAATACATTAAAACGTAATAATTGATAGTTTAGAATATTTTTTAACATAATAGTTACGTCATTAAGTGTTCAAAATGTGCTCCATTTGTGAGTTGACAGCACTCTAATCGATGGTAGAATGCGTCTACCACATTTCTCCATTATTGTCTAGAACTTATTCGAGATTCATCGATAATTCATTGCCGTAGCTACAAGACTTGCTGGTTAAGTTTTGTAAACTGAATTTTTCAAGTATCTCTAATAAAAATAATCTTTAGGATTGAGATCGAGTGAACGTGGAAGCCATTCAATTCTACCTTGTCTACCAATTAATCGTCCGGGAAATATCTCATCTAAATAACGCCGAACATTTACACCAACTATCTGACGTTAAATTTCTTTCGATAAAAAATGGCCCAATTAAATAAGTTTCTACTATAACTGACCATACATTTAATTTTTGTGGTCTTTGAGTATGGTTTTCACGCATTCAGTGTGAATTTCACACGAGTTCAGCTATTCAATACGAGTTCAACCATATGTTCACTTGATTTTATGTAGTCTGAAAGATCTTAAATACATAAAACAGTGCAAAATATGTAGATTTTAATAAATTTAAATATTTAAATGGAGAATATTGTGATTTTGACATTTGTTCACCATTTAAATTATGAACTAAAATTGACAGTAGTTGTGGTTCAAAAAGTTCTGCAATTTAAATTGCTTCTCTAAAATGTCGTTCTTTAAACCGTTCTCCTATTCATAACATGATTGTACAAAAAACTGTAAGGCAATTTGAGGAATCTGCAGAAGTAAAAGATAGATACCGATCAGGTTGACAGAAACGAGTTTTGAATGACAACAAAACTTCAGATATAAGCAAAGTTTTGTTGTAGATCCACATACATCCCCAGGCACGGTTGCACAAGTACATGATGTATGTCATTCTTTAGTCTTACGTTTATTACGTAAAAATAAATTTAAATCATACAAAATTAACTTATTGCAAGAATTAAGTGAAGATAACTTTGGTCGTAGATTAGAGTTTACTGAGGTAATGATGGATAAAATTGAAAATTATTAAAATTTCGTTAACAGAATATGTTTTTCCGATAAAGCAACTTTTACACTGTGTGGAAGTGTAAATCGACACAATTACGGTACTGAAGTTTACAAAACTTAACCAGCAAGTCTTGCAAAGCTAAGACAACGAATTATCAATGAATCTCGAATAATTTCTAGACAATCATGGAGAAATGTGGTAGACGCCTTCTACCATCGATTAGGTTGCTGTCAACTCACAAATTGAGCACATTTTGAACAATTAATAACGTAGCTACTATGTTAAAAAATGTTCTAAACTATCAACTGTTACGTTTTAATGTATTTGAAAATAGTTAGTATTAAAAAATTTATTGAAACAATTTAGGCGTTGCCAGACTTCGGTTTTATGTATTTATGACCTTACAGATTACATAAAATCATAAGTGTTACATATGGTTGAACTCGTATAGAATAGGAGATTCCAATAATCACTAAATATACAGGGTGATGTATTTGAAAAACCAAAGTTACTAATAATATAAGAAAAACGGCAAATCTGGCAACATTGTAAATATCAAATATGGAATCTCCGTATCCCAAAATAGGTGTACCTCAAATTTTGTGCAATTATGATTAGCATTTTACGAGATAATTAGCCGTTTCCAGATTTTTGGGCCACTCTGTATTTTATTCAGTATAAGACCCTGTATACTGTACTTTACATATTAAAACTCTTTACTTTCTTAATGCATTCACAAGCT